AGGATTGCTTCAATGATCATAGAACTTCTACCGACACGTGGCTTTGTGTCAAAAACGTTTAATCGGRCTTACATGACGATCATCTGTCCGAATATACAAATATCTTGTAATCCGACCGATCTTTTAATTAACTCGGCCTTATGAAGCTTAGTGTAGTAAGAAAGACCTTCATAAATCGGTCATTAAGGTCAGGATCATCGGCATGTTTTGTCCGATTATAGAAAGATCTTGTAATCCGACCGATTCCTTGATTAGTTGGAGCTTACTAAGGAAAGACCTGTATAAATCGACCGATAACTTAGGAAACAATAAAACTGCAGGTTAAAATCCTACAAGCCGACATAAAGTTAGAGGGTCTGAAACAGCATGCGCCGAAAGATATTTGCAATCCGACCGATCCTCAAATGAGTCCGACCTTATAAAGCTAAGCGTTGTAAGAAAGACCTTTATAAATCGGTCATAGGATAAACTATCAAATTGACTACGACGACCATCTACTGCTCTGCGGTGCTATCAAGAGCTAGCGCGTTCCGGAGCTTATATATCTAGAGATTATATAATCTGGCCAAACCTTTAATTCACTTTAATTACTTGAGCATTATGACTGAGACCTTGTATACTAAGAAATACCTCTATACACCGGTCTTTAGCTCTGCGAAAATATCTTCAGTGGGCTGTAGTAACCTGATGGGGACAGCAGTAAAAAAAACCGTTGAAATTTCGAGAGAATTTTTGGATTAGAAGTAAAAACGTACTGAAGACTTCTGGCCAGGTGATGTGCAGTGAAATCCATCGACTTTAAAAGGTATCAGTAACACAAATCTTAACATATATTTGAATTTGATAGAGCTCTGAGAAGGAAATATTCGTACGTTGTTATATGCAAAACGGTTTGGTACACCTTGTCCAACTGGTGCACATCCAAAAACCGCATTTTTGTTGGAATTTTTTTTCCGAACCCTGAATGTACTTCAAAATTTTCTACCATGTCTACTAAGAAAAAGATTGAAAGAGTTGTAGTTGTAGTTCACTATTAGTTATATATTTTACTTGGGACAAAAGTTTATTCTGTGGTCAGTCAGTATTTCCTTTTCATTAGTTTAGAGTCCAATGACGGGAATATCATACATTGATTTACATCGTACATTTAGCCTATGATGATTTTAAAAACCGCATGGAACTGTCTTGTACCCTAAAGGCTGATTTACACGKCACGATTGTCTCGTGCGATTTGTAGTATACGACTTGAATCGCACAGTGTAAATGCCCTTACGACTTGTCTACAACAGTCGTACGCAACCTACGACTTGTAGTAGGTTTTTGAACCACTGCTTAAAATCTTACGACTTGTAGTAGGAAAATCGTATACTACAAGTCGCGYGCGACAAATCGTACCGTGTAAATCAGCCTTAAGAGATCCAAAAGTTACGCTATTTCAAGATCATTGRCTCCTTTATCAGATTTTGAGGCTGCTAGAGACAAAAGGGAAAGTCAGAGAAGCCCGAACAAGCGCAGTTATGCGCTACACACATAGTATTTTGCAGTGAACTGATCACGTGATTAATCTGGCGCCTGTTGACTTTTCCGTTTTTACCCCCCTTTTGATAAAGACGGATTGAGTCCATATCTTTAACCAAATCAAATGGATTTTCTTAATGAGAACTTGCATGTTTTGTCTATAAGCAACTGTTAAGAGTATTATTCAATCAGACAAACACTGTTTTGACGTTTCTTATCTTTGCGCTTCTAGCTTCCTTTGCCTTTTGAACTCACAGAATTTACGGTTTTAGACCTTATAGGGGGGTAGGGTGGGGTGGTCTGTTCAGGAAAGCGATTGAGTCCATCCCCATTTTTATCCCAGGCATAAAAAAAATCCAAAGTGTGTTGGAGTTATAATAGAAATGTATTTTCTAACGATATGTAATGAATACAAGCGTGTTGTTGTTATAAGGGGGTATACTCTTGGGAATAGTAGCGTGAAGTATATATAAGTGAAATCATTTAGTGTGAACCATCGAAGGTATCTCTAAACTCTCGTACGTAAGGTTTAAAGGAAATATAGGTCAGTGGTAATAGAAGCATATTGTTGTAAACCGTGACATAGTAGCATAACCAATAAAGAGATGCCAATTCCTGTATACTGTTGTTATGAATGTAATTTAGTTTGAAAATAATAATATGAATCGAAATCTTTTTTAGTTGCTAAATTTTGAATAGTCTTTACTTACTTCGATACTGTTTTGAGGACTTTTTCTATACATTTGAAAACTACCGCCTATTTGAAGACTTTTTACCGCGCTCACGTTTTTTTTTTTGTTTTTGTTTTTTTTTTTTTTGCAACTTCGTTTTATTTGAAAGTGTTAGTACTGTTAAAATGGAATTGAAATGGTCTTGATCTTCAGAGAAGGGTTTTTAGCAATGCCTACTCAACTACCCCCGCTTTAAGGAATGCGTTATTCAAAGTTGCCGAAAATAGGAGTCTTGATCGCATCACTAAGTTATCACTCCATGTGGTTTCGGCTTGTTTTTATGCTCATCAAGATGGCCGAATTCTCATGAATATAGCAAGAAAAAATGACTAAATAGCTATTATTATGAAAAAAAGAAATACTGAAGCATGCAATATAAATAAAAGGGAAACAAGAAGTTTTAGAAGAAGTTTTCAWTGATGATTCTACCCCACCCCTCCCCCCGACAGGTAATTTTTTGTTCTTATAAATGACGTCATCTTATTCTTCCGTTTACTTGTTCGTGAAGTCCAAAGACAAGGCGTTCAAAACAAACTGACCTGTATGTGTGGAAACTCGACAAGCTGATAAAAGAAGGCGTTTAACGGTCATCCCATTCAATGATCGATTGTCTGTCTGTCTAGAAYTTACCCACGAGGTAATCAACGATGTAAGAACGAGTGATCTGCTGGGATTCGAAAGGTAAGTTAGTTCTCGAATTCTTCATCAGTTTGTAAATTTCTCGTGAATTGAGGAAAACCAAGCAACCGTGATCACGAAGAGTTACGTCCATTCGAACACCGGTCTGAATTATTTTCATGATCAAGTGTTCTGGAATGCTTGGCGAGACCCCAATACATCGAAATATCGGAGTTTTATTAGTTGTTTACCGCCTWCATTAAGCTGCTATTTGTTTGAGCCATTTTATATGAATTTAGGCCACCATTAGTAACTAAATTAGACATGTACCTTCGSAAATTATATCACTAGTTCATGTAAGTTTCCTTCCTCTAAGAATTGTAACATTCGAATGAATGATCGTAGAATAGAATGTTTTTTTCTCAACCAACGAGAGATGTTTAGATTTTGGCGTTTAAACAGTGGTTTTGCGGCTCAATTATGGTCGCTAACATAGCTCCTTAGTCGTCCATTCGTGAACAATAGTTTTGAGTCAAGTTCTTTCACAAGTATAGTACTTATCAGCCGATTTTTCCCTGATGGAACGCAAGCTATGCCATGTAGATTTCACTTAGTAATCGAGCGTTTAATCAACGTTGGTTCTAGAAGTTTTGATCACGACAAGATATAGCATAATTCTTTTAATTATTCGCGATTTCCCGAACGCTTTAATCCTAGACTATTCATAGACTAATCGAGCTTTATGCTAAATTTTCATGCTTTGATTTGTGCGATTATTAAAGCGTGTTTATTTTGCTGTTGTATGTTTGTAGTAAAGTTGTAAAACCGGGTGTAATTGACGCGGGCTAGTGTATCAAGCAACGTGCCTATATTCTTTAATCTCGCGTTACGTGATACCTCTTATTAACACACCGCAAGCGTCTAASAGATCCCATACAAATGGTTTTCCGTGTCTAAAGAAGTCATGAACTTTCAAGAAGCGATGAACTTTCTTTATAATCCACTGAAAGCCTAGTCTTGTAATGCTAACCCTCGAGGCCTCACTATCTTAAAGTTTCCCAGAGTCTCGAATTTCGCACCTCAAGTTCCTGCTAAATGAATTGTCACCTACTAGTATTTTTCAGTACAGTTTGGCACGCTCGATCTACAGGTACCCTTCTTCATCCTGGTGACATTCTAAAAATAGGTCTCCTAAATTGATATAAAGAAATTTCTGCGTTATCTTAAAGATTTTAGTCAAAATATAGATGTTTATATATGAAAATTTAGTTATTATCCGAAGAGAATAATAACTTGTTCAACTCCTCCTTCAAATATATTATTCATAGATCCTTACTGCGAAAAAGAATTATTCTTTGCTTCACAATGGAATGTTTTCATAATGATTTTTTGGAATGAATTCGTGTAKTTTGAAGCCGTATTCGCTTGAACGACGTGTTTTTTCACGCATCGCAGAAATGGATTGTAATAATGGCATAATTATGGAAGCAGTGTATGGAAAGAGTTATTTCCAGGGCGTCGTTTACAAATCTTTTTCACACCAGAGATTCATAACAAATTTGAAGAAAACCTTTCGAGTGCAGCATTTGAATGGCTTTCTTAGCATTTKAATGGCTTCCTTGCGCACTTATTCCTATATATCTCTGAGACCCTTTGCAAAGTCTGAAATTCTTTCGTTGTACGTAGAACAAAGAAAAGCTCTATCATAATTAGAGGTAAAAGGGGAGCCTTTTGTCCGAATTAAATTGGAATGCAACTCAAAGAAAGGCACTTAGGACGCACAGGCCTAGAAAAATCAATCTTTGAATTATTCGCCGGAAAGCTACCAATTGTACTCTTCAATTATTTAGAAATTCCAACAAACGGTTTGTGTGTTCAAGCAAGAACAAAAAAAGTTTCTTTGAATTTTTAACCCAAACATTTACTAAATAAACAATTATTATTTTTCAAGAGTTACTTTACTCTTGCTTGCGCTGAATGTATGCCTTTGACACTGTCCATGGACAAAGTAGAGTGTCTGTCACTTGGAGCTATTTAAGGACATTTGTACATGATTTGTGGAGTGTTTCCTGAGTATTGATAAGACCTATGCCTGGATTGAGGATTAAGGCAGATGTTTGCTTGTGTCTTGTAAATCTAGTACACTAACCCTGATCATTATTGATAGGGGGAACCCTATACATTGATGCAATGGGCAAATGATATATCRTACTTCTTTCACTCAAAACCTTATGCACGCTTGTGAAAAACTGTCGTTCATAGTCTTACATACTAGCAAGGATATCTACTACTTTATATGTGATAGTATTCCTAATCTTAGATGATAAATAATCATTCATTTAGCCTTTTATAAGYTCATATCCAGAACAAAGGGAAATATTTCCTTAAGAGTATTTTATTAATCACTAAAAAACAATGTTCTAAGCTCTTTTCTGAATACATTTTAAGTAAGTCATGGACTTTATTAATAGTTGTTATAGATGGAAAAAAAACAGTACATTTATTCAGTACTTTATTTTAATTCTAAATACAGTATTACTAATTTTTGCAGTAATCTAGCAAGAATATAGATTAACTATTTCTTCTTGTTAGAATGCATTGTTATTTAGGATAGTRGCTAGAGTAAGAAATACCATCACAGTAGGGGTTATTTTTTTACTATTTCTAATTATTTTTCACTTTCCATTTTKTGGTGCACATGGAGTCAAACTCCTTTAACAATAACATAGAATAACTTGGTACCTAACTCARYYAGAGTAAAATTTACTATACCCGGAGTTGCCATCTGGTTTTTAGAGCATATGGTTTTGTCAGGCAATCTATTTGTGAGACAATTAGTGAAAGMTATGACCCAGACTGAGGTATAAGATTGCTAATGACCAGAAGGACTACACCATACATACCCCCACACAAGAAGAGTGTACTGTAATATTACATCTCACTAGTATGGAAGCATATTGTTAGCAAATCTTTGATATGATAGAGATTGATATGAGGGACCACAGAACATTTTTWCTTTTCTTTTTTCTTTTTATTTACTTCTTAGAAATTGTGGAAAAGTATAAGCTCTATACTCTCCTGCTGTCGAGAATTGAAATTCGATAAAATGTTATTTTGACCCCTACACTAATACCTTTTGGTAGCATTAAGCAATATTTTCATAGATTTACTGCATAAAATATGTTCTTGAAGCCCAAAAAAATGCTGGAAATCACAAATTGACAAATCAAAAATTTGTGGGACCACTTCTTGATCACACCTTGAGTTCTCCACAACTATATAACAACTAATATGCTTATGTGGTACATGGATATTATGCCATAGATATATATTATTATCAATTTGTTGGCTTTTGGCCTGAGAAAAAGCTTGAGAATAAGTATAGTATTGAAAGATAATTTGCAGAAAGGTAAATGTAATACCATGAATGAGTCTTCTTAAAAAATGACTAAGAAAAATTGAAATATAGAAAAACAATATTAGATGTATAACAACACTGTAATATGAAAAGATACTTTTCAGAGGTGTASTTTAAGGTCATGGTCATCTTTTTGGACCTACTTGTATGCCTGCACTTAGGTGAAATGCTTGCCAAATTGCACCAKAACAAGGAGATGAGCAGTGCTTTTAATACTGTACAATGAAAGATACTTTGCAGAATGGTAATTTAAGAACATGAATCTATCTTTCAGACCTACAGCATGTATGTATGCACAAAAATAATGTATGCCTAAACAAAGAGTAAAGCAAGGCCAACAGTAGATTGAGCATACTGTGAACAAACAATATAAGGCTTACATTATTCAGATATTCTCTAAGCACTGTAACTAAAAAAATAGAATTTTATAAAGAAAATGCTAGTAGCTTGAATGACCAATGCTAACCACACATTAGTCCTATCTGACTATGACTCAACTGATGGACAAATCCTTGTTATCGATATTCTTATGCAAAATATAAACATATAGGCTATCAAATAAACTCTTTATCCATTTTCTAGACATTTTCTGAATTAAAAATGTTCATTATAAATTAATGCTAATTAATTTATATTAAATTAATGTGCAATCTTACACACACCTACGACATGTACATATGAAAATACATATACTTACATGAAAAGTAAGAGTATAACCCCGTGTTCAGTATCACAATCACTACATTGTCTGGACTATCCAAACCCTATTGTTTTAGTATATGATAATTTTTTTAAAAAATAGATCCAGCCTCCTTAAAAAAAAAACACCTTCAGCCACCTTAAAAAAAATACCTTCAGCCACCTTAAAAAAAATACCTTCAGCCACCTTACCAAAAAAAAAAACACCTTCAGCCACCTTAAGAAAAATACCTTCAGCCACCTTAAGGCTAAGAATAGCTTAAAAAGAATCCTACGAAATGCAATAATGCCAAGACTAATCTCATTTATTAAGTACAATAATTATGTCTCATTTTCTGTAGATTATTATAGATTATATCAGACTTTCTTAATTGATCTGTTGTGACGMTGTTTACTTCAGACAAAWACCTTCCCTGCTTCTTGTTGTTTCRAAAAGCAGCTGTAATGCTGCCATTTTTAGTTAAATTCTTAGAAAAATATCTTCTGTTGGCTAAAGGTATTTGTCTTTTTACACCTTGGATACTGTAAGTTGTTGTAGTTGTATTTCTGCATTGTTCTATATTTGCAAGGAAAACAAAATTAATAGCAGGTACTTATAAGAATATTTTAGTTATGGAAGTCTGAATAGCTTTAAAGGTTTGATATTAAACTTTGGCAAAACTTGGAACAAGTTGACATAAATTAGGTGAATTGACAGCGAGATTAGAATTACTGCCAAGATGTTTGTGAAATGAAATATAGGAAAGTGAGTTTACCAACATAAAAATAGAGTCTTAATCAAACTAGAGCTAATGTATATGCAAGAAAAAAATTTATATGAATTTTATAGTAAATTGTTTGATTTTTAACTTTTGTACAGATTTATGTATGATTATATAATCCTAAAAATAGTCATTTGCTGTTCTGCCTGGACAGAAAAAAAAAACAGATTAATCCTTTCTATACC